CAGGAGGACCGTTCAGCCCCCGCCGGCCAGGAACAAACAGTTGCGTGTATGACTACCAGATAACCAGCTAACTACCCCGAAGTGGCTGCGCTGCGCCTACGAGAGCGAGGTTGACGACGCTGTGGCTGACCGGATTGCTTCTGCTTCCGCTAAAAATAGGACCCTGGCGCTTCGTATCTCCACAGGCAGAAGGGTTGATGCCTAGGCGGACGGATGGGCGAGGATTCATTCAGCTGTGCAGTTACTCCATTCCATGTCTAGGGCCGAGGGACAGCGGTGGTTGATGGGAAGTTGGGCGACAAGACGGCTGCTGCAGCGTGATAAAGGCATGACCCTGACGTCCTGGCCTGGCACTGGTCAACTGGGTCAACTCTACTGGCCTGCTTGTGGGCGTAGATGACTGGTTATGGCTTGTTTGGCCTTTCTGGCATGATAGCTGATACCCCATCGGATGATCAGCATCAAACGGCCAGCTGCGTCTAGTTAACTAAGTTAACCAGCAGTTATGGACGTTCTTTACTCCCGGCATAGAAGTTGACTACTATACCCCTTGTCTGGTGGATGCCCTGCGCCCTACAGCCAACTGCAAACTTGACCTCCACAGCTTTGGATTAAAAAGCCTGGTGCGGCCGCTAGATCAACTGCAAGATATAGATCCCCTACGAGTACTCTATTGCTACTTGTCCTCGGTTATACTGTATCGGTGACGCACTTTTCGGCATCTACGAAGGAGGGCTTGGAGAGATGGATGAGGTAACGAGTGCCATGTTGTGGAATATACCCCTGTTAGATACAGGACCTCGCAAATCAGACATTCAATGCTATACAGAGATGACTAGCTAAGTCAGTATGGCGGATTGAATGGACCATCGGATCTCTCCCTTAAGTCTGTCCCCTGAGTATACTCTCCCTAGTAGAGGTAAGAGACTTAAGAGAAGCCCCTGGTAAGAGGGCCTAGAGAAGAGGACGAGAGCAGATAGCGAAATAAAGACTTGAAGAAGGCCGGGTTTAGTACGTCGTTGCCACCTAACTTGGGATATAAAACTCATACCTACCAGTACTAACTGAGAGCGGGCAGACGTGGGCAGAGGAATAGTCACCATGCGACTACGGCGAGGATATCATATATGATATCCAAGATCCAACTTTCATTACCAATGGATCCCTGGCTTCTTACTATCACATTTAAACTCTCCTGGATTTTTTTTTTTGTAATTTAGGTACCTTAAATGTTCTGACATCTCCTTGTATAGAGTGTCCGATAGTGAGCTTGAAGACTGCTATAGTGGGGTGGAATGTTCAGAACTGCACAAACGCATACCCTCGAAGGGCATTAATCTTTATTGAAGTTTAATTCATTAAAATCGCTAGTTAGTCTATTCAAAACCCATGTACTTCCTTTGGTCTAGTTTTATATTCAAATGCTCATGCTAGGGTACCCGGTGGAATAATTAATCATACCGTGACGATCTAGGCAGCGGCTCAACCTCTCTTGAATGGCAGCTTTCATACTGAAAAGCTCTTCTCGGGTCCGTCCACCAAATATTAGCTGCGCAGTAGAGTTGTTCGGCAGGGACTCTGTAGCCGCGGCCACAATAACTTGTCCTTTGCTAATGAACGGAGCTAGAAGGGTATAGACATCCGGCGATTTCCCCTCATAGTGGAAGCTCTGAGCCTGAGCCAATGGCAGCCCTCGTTCCTTCATGAAATGGTTTGAAAGTAAGCATACAACGAAACCCCCTGTTAACCGCGCATTGAGATCAACAACCACCTTCCGGTTGCTATGCGCATCAATAATGACATCTATCCCTGCCCATCCGACATAGGAGCCGATCAGGGTGCGAGCAACAGCATTGATGGTATCCATTAATTGCTCCTTGATCTGCTTCTGTAATCGATAGTCGATCACGGAGCCCGCCCAGCGTCCTGACTGGGTGAAGAGCTGTTCTGTGGCTCCTAGGAAAGTCACAGTTGAACTCGCATTGGATGGGCCAGGCGCGCCCACGAAGAAGTTCACTGAATAATGGGGTCGCGTGGAGTGTATGAACTCCGATATCTGGACGTCAGGAACCCCCCGGTCTTGGTATTCTGCCATGGCAGTAAGCATCTCTTGCCTCTGGTCCTCCCTGGTGACAATCCATGTTCCCCGACTCCCGCTGCAACGACGCAGTTTGACAACAAACGGCAGCGGCCTTGTCGAGAGGACCGAGGCGCTTAGATCCTCGCCCTGCAGCGGGGCCATCTGTAGATCAGGGGTCGGAATGGTGGGATGTAAAAGGAAGCGTTTGTCGTTGATCTCATATGCGAAGTCAGGGTGGACCAAAGTGTCATACTCGAGCATATATGACTTTGGTCGATAGTACCATAACTTCTTCCCCCGGGTAACTCGTCGCAACTCATCTTGTACGTTATGCTTGTTCAGATCTATATAGTGGATTTGTGGTCGTTGATTCGCGGGGAGAGGCGACAAAAGTCGGTCAATGTTCGCCGGAAGATTGGCAGGGCGGTATAGGTATACGTCAATCGGGCCGATCCCCAGCAAGAACTTGACCGTCTTGTAAGTCAGGACAAGCGTTCGGAATCGTTCGAGTCCTTCGTCCGTATGGTTGCTCGAAAAGCCAACATCTTCATCCTGGATATAGACGGTTTCGCGAAGAATCTGTGGATGGATATCGACGTGGGTATAGCCATTGTATATGTCTAGGACTATGGAGTCCGAGACACCATGTTCGCGGAAAAGGCCGGCCAGAGTATTGTCCAACGTTATTGATGGAGATTTCTGCGCGTCGAAAAGAGACAATGCCTAGGGAGAGTGTTGCTTGTCAATCTCTAACTGATCAGTTATTTTCCGCAGGGCACAAATGGTGGTAATACCGTTGATATCTTGGAAGTGGGTTGAGTTATCAGTCCCCCCGGAATAATCTCAAAGACAAGGAGGGACAGAAAGCGTCCCACGATGAAAACCTCATTTTTAATGGAAAAGAATATTAAAACAATCGGGAATAGTAAACCATAACGGAGAATATTCGCCCTGTTCGTCTTCACAGACATGACTCTGGAGGAACGGAGAGAGAGAGAGAGAGAGAAGCTGAAAAGTGCGGGAAGAAATCAAGACTGGGGTTGAATTCTCACGAATTGAACATACCCGGCGCACTAGCTATGGCGGCGGACTCTTATACAAAACTGCCATTCTGATTAAGCCACTAAGCCCCTTAAAACCTCTTGGGAGCTGAAAAAAAGGTGAAGGATATGGGGTTGGATCTCGAAGACCCCCCCTGGGCAGTTTTAGGCTTGGACACAGCCCATTGCTGCAGAAGCCGCAGGGAAAAGCAGTTCTTATAGCCTAATCTTCATCAATAATGGTCGGGCTTGTTGGCCCAACTTATAAATGTACAAACCGGATGCGTGTACGGAGTATGTTTTCGCAAGGTAACCAGCGACACGGAACGCTGCTGCCATCGGTACTCTGTATGCTTAACCAGGGCCCAGTCACCTCTCGCCCGTTACTTAGTCTGGACGAGCAGAGATTTTCCATCCGAGATTTTCCTCGATAAGCTCATCGAAATAAATCCACGCATCCCAGCCAGCCCTCGATATTCTGCAGAGTGCTCACCGACCAATTATCGTCGCCATCCGGCTCTGCTGGCCGTCGAGACTCTGACAACTCGTTGCGTTAAGGTTCAATAATGCATCTGTGCATGAGCATCAATGTTAGCTAGTTAACTTAGTTAGCGGATCGCGAGTTCAACTTAAAAATACATTCGCCCGCACCCGAACCCCACAAAAGATGCTCCATCCAGCGCCCAGGGCCGGACGAAGAACCTCCACGAAGCTGTGACGGCTGCAGCATGTCGAGACAGACACCTTGGATCCTCGGTCGTTGATGACGTGCCCCTGGGTTGCCCAGAGCGGCTGCCGTCGGCGGCTATCGCAGCCCTAAGCCAGCCGCGACGAGGCGCGGTTTAGCGCCAATATGTCTGCTGGGATTTACATGATTGGCCGGCGATTTGCTTATTTGGGCCAACGGGAGTGCAGGTAAATTTCTTGGCACACCAATGAGAGCATCCCAAGTTGCTGAACGTGCAGCCAATCAAAAATTTTCAAACGGCGGGCGGGCATTTGTTGACTTCGTCGCCTCACGAAGGTATTTGACATCGCGATATCACGCACTCTGTCGAGTCTTTTCCGGACAAACGAAGGGACTGACTGGCCTTTCAGCAGGACTGACCCATCATGAAGCGCTCTACTCTATCGAATACCGACGGGAGTACTCCGTATAGAGCAGGGTATCAGATAGAGGATCGAGAGCGCCCAACAGCGAGCCCAACCCTCGAGTCGCCAGCTGGCCAAACTAACTAGGGACCCACGGGGCTAACGAGTTCAATATCAAAACTCCGATCAGCCTATTCACTAACAAACCCGTCTGACATCAGACACTCGCCAGACCTGCGTGTCAGTATGGCTTCCATCCGATAGCAAGCACTGGTAGGCCTGCATCGACGACCACGAAGTAGTCGGATCTTATCCATTCGGGGCCATCCATCCAATAAGCCCATCACGTGAGTCATTGTATCTCCCAGTTCATATTGAGGAGCCTGGTCTTTAGAAGCTCGTTAAAAGGAGAGGTAAGAAAGAAGATAGAAAAGGACAACAGTTTCAAGGGATGGTTCGCTAAGCAGCAAAATTGCGTGGGGAGTTTGGAGTCCCCATAGTTCCCTAACTAACTTGCCACCACAATGTTATACAATCTACGGAGTAACGACTGGTTAGCTAGTTAGCTAACCGACCAGTTAAGTTATAGTTAGTTAGCCAACTTGGCCCTACGACATCCGCTGAGAACGTCCTATTTCACAGCGACAAGCTACTGCATAAATTCACCAGCTATTACTGCTGAAAGAGAGAGGACGCTAGCATAGATTCTCTGCATCCTCAATACATTCTCCCATCTCAGAGATATACTTAACTACTTTACTACACAGGCAGCTAACCAATCCCCCACCATGGCTGCGAAAGCATTCAACGTGGGGGTTATCGGCTACGGCATGAGTGCCAAAGTCTTCCACATTCCCTTCATCAGTGCCCTCCCAGAGTTCAATCTATATGCAATTGTGCAAAGGACACCTTCGGCTTCGGACGATGCGCAAAAGGACCACCCAGAAAGCAAGGTATATCGAAGTGCGGAGGAGCTGGTCAATGATAGCGCTGTCGACGTGGTGGTGATCACAACCACTCCAGACAGCCATTTCAGTCTGGCAAAGCTTGCTCTGGAGGCAAAGAAGCATGGTACTGTTTATTCTCCATCCATCAAGGCATGTCCAAGTGGGCATCCGGCTAACCGGTGTGTGAGATATATAGTTGTCGTTGAGAAGCCGTTCACTCCCACTACGAAAGAAGCAAACGAGTTGATAGAGCTAGCAAAGACACAAAACAAGCTGCTCACAGTGTACCAGAGTGAGTAGGCTGTTAGTATATGGATAGGAGGTGCTTTTTCTGACAATATATACGATGCCAGACCGAAGATGGGATGCAGACTTTGTCACGGCGTCAAAACTAATCAAAGACGGCTCCCTTGGTCGCGTAGTTGAGTTTGAGACTCACTTCGACCGCCATCGTCCAGAGCTCAATATCAAGAAAGCATGGAAGGGCAAGGATATCCCCGGCGGTGGCTCCATCTATGATCTTGGAACGCATCTTATCGATCAGGCAGTCCACTTGTTTGGCCTTCCAAACGAGATCACCGGCTTCATCACGGCCCAGCGGGAGATTAGTACGGAAAATTACGAGGATTCATTTACTGTTCTATTGCATTATGACAGACTACTGGTAACAGCAAAGAGTGGGGTTATCAGTCCCGAGGAGAACCAGCTTCGGTTCTGGATTAGAGGCGAAAAGGGGAGCTTTAAGAAGGTACATCACTATACCATCCTCTACTTTTCGTCACATATCAAAGGGATTGACGATTTTCCATCATTTAGTACCACCTCGACCCTCAAGAGGACCAATTGCAAGCCGGTGTAAAACTTGATGATGCCCAGTATGGCTGCGAGCCCAGTGATAGGCACGGTACGTTTTCCAGCTGTCCTACGTGAATGTCCTGTGCACATGCACATCAAACACATGTGTCGCATGTAGTGCAACCAGGGACCCACGATAACTAGTTAGTTACTCGATAAGCAAGCTAACATCCACCCTAGGTGTCCTTACAACGTTTGCTGGGGGAAAGTTCTCTTCGCAAACAGTTCGGCCAGAGCCACCAACTTACAAGGAGTTCTACCGTTCACTTGCAAAGGCTCTGTCTGGTCAAGGGCAGGTCCCTGTAGACCCTGCAGATTCTGGTACTGTCATTCGTCTGGTTGAGCTTGCAAAGGAGAGCTCCAAGAAGCGATCAACCTTGCCTGTCTCAAAGTCCTAGAGTCATGCTGTTGCTTATGAATGTATATAGTTTCTTGCTCAGGTACTAGGCAGCAAAGCTTTTTGTAGATTTATATAGGCCGAACTAGTCTATAATAGTTACTGGGACAGCAGGAAGAGCCACCTAGAAGCCATTACTATCTCATACCAGGTCAAGGAGTAACAGAGGAAACCATGGAGCCTAGTGCCGTAGACATGGAAGGGAATAACTATCATAAGTTGTTGTCGCATCACCGACTGTCGTGAAAGCCCTGGACATAGACAACAACAACTACCGGGCCTTAGTAACAACTAACAACATAGGGAGTTAAAAGAGGCCGTTATTCTACTGCTAAGAAGGAATATCAAGTCTTCCAAGATGAACCGCGTTGGGTGGTATACTTATCCTTACAACCCACATATCCTGGTCGGGACATATGCGGCATTCCCCCATCATGGAGGCTTCAGATACATGGTACCAGTCACCACTCATCCTGTCGCCCCTGACCATCCGATTTCTTCGCAGTGGGATGTCGTCTCAGGCCGTATCATAGAAATTCTGGACCGTGTAGGGACTCAGTGGGTGGCCGTTGAATGCTTTGAGCGGCGCCAGGTGCACAATGATAGGCATAGGGGAGAATACGCAGAGATACGCGAGACCACAGTCCTTATTACGGTGCAGGAGTTCCCTTATATTGATTCCGACTATAAAAAGATACTTCATGAAATCTACGAATGCTCAGGTAACTAGTGGCCTGTTTCTTCAACCCATAGTTCAACGCAGGTCAGGAAAAGCTAACGATGCATCGCTCTATTTTCCACGGTGACAGGAGGGCTCTTCATTGAGCTGTTGGGGGGAACTGTCTGGTGCGGCGCAACGGAGACTGCCTATGGATGGTCCATCAACGTACGTGATCTGCGCTTCCCAGATGCCAGTGACGATAAGGGTGGGAAGCTATGGGGTCCCTACGGGGGTAATCTATCCTCCAACACCTATGTTGCTACGGATGGGATTGACAAGTCCCTGGGAAACTTCAGTTGTTATTTGCTCCTGTCCAAGCCTGGCGAGAGATTTGCCTCGGATGTCAAGGAGTGCTGTTTGGCATGCCATCATGCTGTCAGCTTACGCAGGGGGAGGTTCACCCGTACTGGCAAAGAGCTAAGTCAGTCGTTCGCTCATGGCCCAACACCATAGAATGGGTTCGAGAGAGACATATGAGACAGTGAACATGGCTGATATAAAATAACCTTGCAGGGCCCATTACTGAAGATATAGGGAAGAATATCAGAATCCGATGCCCAACTACCCAAGAGTTCGCAATAGACACCTTTGGGAAGCTTGTCGATGACCCCGAGTATGAGGACGAGGAAGAGGAGCACATTGGCAATGTTCTGGCTAGTTCTGGTTTAGCAGTATCAAAGGACGACAACTGCAGGTTAGATTGGGCAGTGGTTCTCTGCCAGCCAGGGAAATGCGGAAAAAACGTTAGTATGGGCAACGTGCATCGAAACACGACAACAGTGACAATCGACAGTTGGGCCAGACCTACTGGTAACAGTGAGAGCTATCTTGCTGGAAGAAGAGAGAAGGGGTATCTTAACACGGTGAAGAGCTGTATCTGTTATAGGAATGCCGGGCAAGAAACTAGAACCAAAGAGTGGGCAGCTATCGGTGGATGCAAGGGGCATTTCGTCTACAACGACCCCTGCGGCCAGCTCGTTGTTGGGAAGTCCAACGACGAGGCTCTCGGAGTCGTCTGGGGAGGAACCAGATCCAAACTGACGATTGATGTAGCGGCGATATATATCACACCGCTGCACATCATTGCCCAGGGCATCCGTGAGGCAACTGGCTACGATGTTTCACTCGCTGGGGGGTCTAAAATTGTCTGACTCCATTCCCCCCATGGGGCCAAGCGGGTGCATGCCCCAGAGTGGCTCCAGGGAACAGCCAGTAACTAGTTACTCCTCCCCCATCCTAGCTCGTTAGAAAAGCCTCATCCCCATTACCTTCCTCTTTGTTTGGTTTAACTCAGAAGCTGTCCATCATCCATAAAGGCAGAGGTTGGCCATGGGGGACTTGGTACTCCGTACCTTCAAAGCTAACCAGAGCGGTAACTAGCTAAAGAGTTACTTACCTGGGTAGAGTTGATATACGACCGAGCCATGGGTCGGGATAGCTCTAGGCTCTTATCGACTGGAACGACTTTTAAACCCCCGAGACTATTCGATGTTCAAATTGGATATCAAATACCACTGCCAACCAACCCTTGCATGGAGTTTAACAGGCGAAGAGGGATAAAAAGCAAATATCAATGTGATCTGTGGATTCCCTGCGAAAAATGACCAGCATTTCACTAACTACCTACACCACGATACAACCAATGCCGTTCTATACATCTACTTCTCGATAAGCCAACCACAGGAGCGTCTCTACCAGTCAAGAGGCAGATAACGTTGTCCCTTTGCGTCTGATTCCAGTACCATGACACGCCCTTTCAGCCATGAGCAGAAAAGGGGGGAATCCTATCCCGAAAAATCCTGCTGCCGCCTCCTCTCTGCTTCGTGCAGATTGAAACTCCACCTGCATCGTTAGCTGCGTGTGTACTCCATGAGCTGAGAAGTAGCTGGAACCACATATGTAGCGACGTTCCAAACCATCTGGTTATCGGTTTTCTTTTCCCTGCTGTCGTTTTACGGTGCATGGCGTACGGGAACACCACGGGAAAATCATACCTTACTCTCAGGCCAGGCTTCCGCTGTTTGCTTTTTTAACCTGACTATTCTGGCCCTTCTCACTCATTTCGAGGGCCTGCAAAGCATGGCCCTGCATTGGCCATTCTCGCAGTGGGCGGCCACCTGTGCTTCCTTGTCCTACGCTTCCGTTGGTGGTGGCTTTCTGCCTCTTTTCTTCTTCCCCTGCCTCCTTCGTGTGTGTCTCTTCTTTGAGCTTGCGGATACACACAGGCCATGGCATCAAAGATGCAACAAACTCTTGCCTTGCCCAACGGGGCCTGTGATGTCGCCATGCCTTCTCCTCAAGTCAGCTACTTCCGTGGGAGAAGTAACTAAGCGTCTAGGCGCAGATCGAGGGTCAGGCCAAACAAAGAAGAAGCTTATCGCATCCTCCTCGCCTCCTGATGCGTTTAGTATGGCTCTTCTGACTTCCCGCAGCCTTTCTGTTCTCTTATCTAGCTACCTATCCAACTCCATGTATTCGGAATAGATGGAGGTTACAGTATCACGGGTCCCCCTAGCGAGGAGGCTAAGAAGAGAAGGCGAGCAGACGGCAAGAGAAAAAAAAGAAAATATTGTCCTTCTCCATGAAAAGTCGACGAGGAAGAAGCAAAGTGCTACTCTAAAGAAAAGAAAGGAAAGAGAAAAAGACCCGGCGAGGAGCGTTCGAGCAGGTAGAGGAATGCGGGAGGGGGTAGTCGGGTCATTCATGGCCTTTGGCTTCCCGGTTAAATGGTCCCTTTATGATACCCTCCCCCGTACCTACAAATATGTGCGTGTACTCCGTATGCTTCTGCATTCCCAGCGTCAATAATTTACTTCTTCGTTCGCCCTTGATTTTCATGCTGTCAAACACGCACTAGGGCACGTTTCTCATGCACCGTCATTATCGCTATCACTAGGACCAGAACCGTCTTCAGCCTCGATATATATACATAGCCTGCATGCACATATATAACTGCTGCAGCATAACATCTTTTACATATTCTCCCTTTTTCTCCCTCTCCCCCTCTCTTCTCCGTGTTATTTGATCTCTTTGCCTTCCGCCTATCCTCTCACTCGGCCATGAGACCACGATAATCTTACCTTACATCCATACATACCTCAAACTGCTCTCCGGTTCATGTTCATGGCTGGACAGTATGGGATTGCCGGTCTCTACACAAGGCCTGCTGTCCAGCCTTCACGTCGCTCGCAGCCAGCGAGACTTTGCGTTTGAGCGAACCTTTAGTCATGGCAGCAAATCAGCTATGATCCTAAGCACAGCCGGCATCTTCTCCGCGCTCTCGTTTCTGATTATCATGCTCCGGTGCTATACTCGGTTCAGCCTACTAAGATATTGTAGGCCGGATGATGGTCTGCTGGTCGTGGCGACGGTAGGTAGAACCTTTGCGACTGTTTTATTTTATTTTATTTTATCCTTTGACGGCTGATATGTGTGCTTTTGGTAGATATTCTCCTTTGTGTGCATGGCATTTTTGGTAGACGAGTCACGGCATGGCCTTGGTAAATATACGGATGACATGTCGATTCCTGACATTGAGAGATTAGCCTTGATATCATACATCCATTGGATATTCCTGATAGTAGCCAAGTCGATGGTCAAAGTGGCAATATGTTTCCAGTTTCTTCGAGTACCGCAGCCAAAGGGCTGTTTGCTGCTGGTCAAGGGTTTAATGGGTAAGACCTCACTGCCCTCTATATCCTTATATTCAGTCATGCTTAAAAAAGAAACCCCAAAGGACTCGTTATAGTGACGACCATATCGCGGCTTGGCCCATTTATCTTTCGATGTCGGCCCATCAAGGTATACTGGACGTACTCCATGTCTGACGAAACTTGCATTGGGAGCAAGGCGATGTCCGTTATCAGCGTGGTCATGTGTGGTTCGTTGAGTCCTAGATTTCAGATAGCCACCTTCACAGAGCTGACAAGGTTGATTTTTTGACGGGATCAATAGGACAGGATGTTTTGACAGACTTGATTCTCACTAATCTACCGCTTTACTATTTCCCTCCCAGGAGCCTAGTACGGCGTGCAGGCGTTGTCCTTGCTGGCATTGTGGGATTGGGGTATCTGTATGTTTGCATCTGCTGCAGTTGACAACAGGGAAGAACATATACTGACATTCGTGTTTTAGGGGGTGCTGTGTAGCCATTATCAAGATGACTCATTCTATACTCAGTGTATATCTAGACAGCGGGTATCGGTATGTCTTGAGCCTTCCACCTTGACGTTATGATAAGTGAGAGACTAACACTTATCCAGGGGTGATATCTTCTTCCTCCTGAGCACGTATGTTATCGTAACCCACATATTTATCCACGCAGTACCAAATACTGATCCTCGTCTTAGACTCGAGCTCCATATCGCCACGATAGCATGTTCAATACACACCCTTCGCCCCTTATTCGAGAGCTACAGCGATGCAATATTCGTCAGTCGGTACGGCAATGGCGGCCACAACATTGATTATGATGACACCTCCTCAACCAGTCCCGGCGACGGTTCTAGGATACGAATGATCTCGATATCCAAATACGCACCGAACAGACTAACGTTTGACGACGACCGGCTCAGTCCAATCGACAGCTACGACGGCAAGAAAAGAGGGCCACACTGCAGTGCAAGGGTGGGCAGCAGTGGGCCGGCATTGTCATCGGCATCAGCGTGTGAATATAAAGTTGAAGTTAGCGCTTCCAGGGTATCATCTCCAGGGTCTTATCATCTGCCTCCTTTCCTCAAGGATTCTCAGAGCAACGGCGCACTTCGAAACGGCAGCGAGACACAACGAGGCGCACTTCCCGGGATAATGTGTACGACAGACGTATATGTTCGTATGGACACCCCGTCGGAAAAGGCGAGCGAACACAGAGCCTAGCCTGGTGCTAAAATATTTTTGGCTGAAGCGTTTTCTTGTATACATAGTTAGTAGAACTAATCATAATCCATCTTTCCCGCTCTTCGGGTGAATCGTGTGATCAGGGATTATCAAGCTTAAATCACATCAGCACCATATGCAGTAAAGCAGCTGTCTCCATCTGTCTCAGGGGCCGATATAAGTTTGATGTCCATGGGTGTTGGGTTAGGAAGGCTAGGGTCGTGCAAAGTCCGTTTCACAGGGCACTCTACAGGCCGTCACAACGGAGCCCATGCCGAGAAACGGCTGCTTATTCGAGTATATAACCAATATATAGGCACCTAGAATCTCAGCTGCTAAAGCCTTTAGCTGTTAATAGACAACATATCGTTGCAGCGAAGGATGTGCCGTCGATGGATGGGATAAGGGGGTCAGCTCTGGCGTCGTCGAGACAGGGATACCACCGTCGTCGTCATCAATCAGTCTGGCCTGTCGAATACTTACACACAGAGTGAGTAGGGATCCAGGACGGCGTTCCCCATGTCTGATGCCCTGCTGTCTTATCTTCCTGCTTGTCGTTGCGGTCGTTGAAGTCGAAGGAGCAGCATGATGGAAGTCGATCAACAGGGAGGTGAACGTTTTGCCGCGGTATTGTAATTTTACGGGCGGATACCCTGCAAAGCTTCGCCAACCAAGCTTTTCCTGCGCATCAGATACTTCGCCAGCCACCAATTTTTATACGAGATATCAAGTACCAGAAGACCCCCCGATGGCTTCCACTGGCTTCCACTGGTTTACGAGGCTTGTACCGGCAAGACGGACCGGCCAGCTTCCCGGCCTTCCGCGGAGAAATAGTCCCACGGCCAGAAGGCGAGAAACATCGCAGAAATTAGTTAGAGACTGGCAGAGTTGGCGAAGCCGGCGCTGGCTTGTCCTCGATGATGATATACCCCGTCGTTTCTCTGGTGCTTGGTTATATTTAGCTGGTCTCTCTCTCCCTCTGTCTCTCTCTCTCTCTCTCGGATCCTTCTTTCCAGCGTGTGCTTGACGCTGGGAGGCAAAAGGGTCGCTCGGTTGGCTGTCAAATCGGGCGTCTCATGATAACAGGCTCCGGGGGCAAGTCAAGTCACTATATAGAGAGAGACTCTGGTTTCTTTCGATTCTTTTCTTTCCATGGGTCTATAGACGCTGTCTCCTTTTCCTCATCTGTTTCCTTGCTGGACATAGTTACTCTTTTCATGGGCGGCCGTTGTTTGCTGTTATAAAAAAAAGTGTTCTCGCCAATGAACCTCAACGATCTCAGGAGGCTAGAGATCGATATCGATATCTTCCTCAACCGGTTCATCCCGCACCCCCGATGGCACCGATATCCATATCCTGTGGCCCATTTCCTCGGCCATAGACGTGAAGCAGTGCCCAAGCTCGGGACGCTGGTCGTTATATTTTGGACGTTCGTTGGCGTCTTCTGCGGCTTGTTGACCATTACCGGAATATCTCAACATATCCCTTCTTTCAAACAACATGATGCTCCCCTCGTAGTTGGCAGTTTCGTATGTACTATCTCAATGCCCTCTTTGACTATGAACCCCCTGATCAACTGACCAAAGACACCTTTTCGGCTGGGTTAGGGAGCTGCAGCCGTGCTTGCATATTGTGCTATAGAATCACCTCTCGCACAGCCCAGGAATGCCATCCTTGGACACTTACTAGCAGCTGTTGTCGGTGTCGGGATCACGAAGCTATTTGGCCTCCACCCGCGTCATGAGGAGCTCTACTGGATAGCTGGTCCGCTGTGCTGTGCTGCTGCCACGCTGGTGATGGCTCTCACAAAAACCGTACATCCTCCAGCAGGCGCAACAGCTCTGCTCTCGGCAGTTGACCCCAGGACAAGGCACCTCGGCTGGTTCCTCCTGCCTGTCGTCCTTCTTGCATGCATGCTCATTCTTGTTACAGCTCTGATATTCAACAATATCGAACGGCGCTTCCCCACGCACTGGTGGACTCCTGTCAGTCTTATCCCACCAAAGGCGGCAGACCTGGAGTCTTCAACGTCAGAGGAGACTGTCCACCCTGACCAATCCGACGAATCGCCCCCTGACGAAGGCAACGACAAGCAGCCTGTAGACCAGATCATCATCAGCCCTGGTCAAGTCGATATATCAGGATCCATCACGCTCACTGCCGCTGAATATGACTTCCTCGAACGACTTAGTAGACGTATCATAGACATAGACGAGAAAGACGCTTTAACCGATGAAAAAGAAAAAGCAGACGAAACCAGACAAAACTAGATCTCTATTCTCTTTCCTCATGCTGTTCTTTTCTACTTTCTTTAAACCTTCATCTGCTCTTGTTACTTCTACTTCTTTTATACATAGAGTTATTAGACTAGCTTAGCCAGTTACTAGCTAGTTAGTAGTTATCAAAGCGCCCCTGGTTTGACCAAGCTTTACATGAGTCGACTCAAATTGAGCCACCTTAGTTATAACTCGAACTTGTAGTTAATTGGCTTGCTAAGAATAGGAGAGAAAAAGAAAGTCTCTAAATCTTGCTCTAGTTACTAGTTAAATATTTATATCATTCTTTTCTTTCTCCTTCACGGGGGAATACCCCTTTCTCTATCTCACTTTCGGAGCTAGATTGAGCTTTATCGGCAAGGCCAAACTCCGTCTCATGCTCTTTACGAAGATCAACATGTTTCTCTATAAATCCACAGAGAAATCCCAGGCCAGCAATGGCAGCAATCACCTGCCACACGACTGCCAGCGCCTTAACGTATACATCGATGACCTGGCTGCGTGAATCAGCTGGCAGCATCTTAAGGTGTCCGCCACTCGCGTATGAATAGGCAGCACCGTCCTCCAAGAGCGCCTGGATTGCTGTATCGGTGATCAAGTTTATATGCGAGTTTACCTGGCCATTGAACACGACGGATGCCATTGTTGCACCCCAAACCAGACCAAACGAGCGGACGAATGAGTAGGTCCCCGTTGCAACAGCTACGTCAGACTCTGGGAGCGGAGCCAAGGTGGACGGCAAAGTAGCAGTGAAGATGATTCCTGTGCCTCCAGACGCAAGAATCTGATACCCTACCCAAGCGCCAGTGCTAGATGACTCGTTCAATGTTGACAGCATGCCGGCACCAACAGCGCTTAATGTGAAGCCCAGCCAGTGTAAGGGTATGTACATTCCGGTTTTCGACATGAATACACCGGTTAGTCCACCAAAGGGGATAATAGCGAGGGCAAAGGGTAAGAAGTTCACTCCCGATATCAAAGGCGACGTTCCCTTGACCGACTGGAAATATACGGGGAGGAAGTAGGAGATGGCCTGCAGGATAATCGCACCCAAGAAGATAATGACCAAGCTGGCTGCCGATGTACGATGTTGAAACAGCCTCGGTGGCATACTGGGCTCCTTGCAAATGGCCGAGGCCTGGTGAATGTGGAATATAATCCATCCTAGCACTCCAAGAACCAAGGGGAGGATGGTCCGCCACGATCCCCACGGGTAGACACTCCCGCCGGTGATAAGACCAAAGAAAACCGCAACCATCGACGGGATAAAGATGGCGTTGCCTAGGAAATCGACGCGAGCCAATGCATGGGCCCATGTCGGGCTTGTCTTATATCGGACATTCAGGAAGAAGAGAATGACGATGAGGCCCAGACCGCCTATGGGAAGGTTGATATAGAAAATCCACCGCCAATTGACCTGAGCAAGTTTACCTCCGATGATGGGACCAATGGTTGTGCCAATTGCGGCGGTTGATAGCACAGCACTGAGGTACGGGCCCCTGTGCCGTGGAGGGATGATATCACAAATGACAATATCAGACAGAACGTACAGTCCTCCTGATCCAAGACCTTGAATCGTACGCCCGGCAATCAACATGCCTACATTCCTTGCGCCGCCTGAGATGCCGCTCCCCAGAGCAAAGAGAGCGATGGCAACCAGAAGCGGATTGCGACGGCCGAAAATGTTAGCTATCTGGCCGAAAAGGGGCTGGGGGACGGTGGTTGCAAATAGAAACGAGTTTGCGACCCAGACGTATTTCTCTGCTCCGCCGATTTCTCGGGCTATTGTAGGGAGAGATGTGGTTATGATGGTTGCATCAACGGCAGACATGAAGGACAGCAAGCAAAGAGCAGAGAATATGCACCAGATGCGCCAGGATCTCGTGAATGCCTGAGGGGTTTCAACCTGGACTTTGCCATCCTTCTCTGGTGAAATAGTCGCATGTGAGATGGACACAGGGGCTATGTTGGCTGGAGGAGGAGGAGATGTCCCCTCCATCGGAACTATTCCCATCTCGAGGGAGTTGTAAGAGCGCTATGGGGTATGATCACAAAACCTGAGGGCGAAATATGGCAGGACAGGGGGCAGCTGTACTTTTATAAGGCCAGCAGCTGTAATCAAACGGCATGATAGTGAGATGGACATAGTTATTTGACTGGGTATATTGAATCCGTAGCCGCAAGGCTCGGGCCACAACGGGGTATTTGACTTGAACGCATGCTTGTCAGAGCAACACAGCATAACTGGTAGCCTATCTAGCTAATTAACCCGGTCCTCGCACATGTACACTGCATAAATGTTGGCAAGCCTTTGGTTTGCTGTGCTTATAGACCAGGGGGAGAGTTGGGATCTTCATGCAAGGCTGAGGACATGACTGGGACAAGTGACTAGCTACGGGGGAGAAAACAACCAGCTGAAAGCGACAAATGCACCGAGATATATTAACAGCAATGGCGAGGGCAGGGACAAGGACAACGGCCACAAGAACAAAGGAATGATAACAGTTAGCAAGAGTTGGCAGGCTTATGATGTCTCAGTTGGTACAACCCGGAGCCGCCGCCAATCAACCATCCATCGCCCATCCGTGATCCATCCATGCATGCATGACATTTGCTTCTAGGCCAGTAGTTTAATTGGCAGCTCGCCCTAATCGCAATTCCAACGCTTGTCATCTCAGTCTCACTTTCAGCTCGTCATGCTGAACCAGCCCCAGGCGGCGATCAACAGGCCGGAGACGGTTCGAAAGACAGCCTTGCCCGGCACACCCTCGCGCCAGCACACATAGCCATCCACGAGCCCGAGATAGCCTAGAATGAACATGATCGTGTCGACTTCGCGGAGCTTGTTTTGGGAGTAGAAGGTGAACAGCGCGAGACCAAGGGCAGTGGTTCGGCCTGACGCGGTGATCATGATGGCCTGCGCTTCCTTGGAGACTGCAATGCGCTTTGGCAGGCCGAATTCCTCGATGGCGTAGGCAGCGTTCCAGAAGGGCATCAGGCCGCCGAAGGTGGTGGCTGTGGCCACGAAGAGCGGCGGGAGGTGCCATGCGGTAAAGTGTTCGAACATCGTGGGTGGTTGATTTATCCTGGTGAATCAAGAGGACAAGGTACTGTTGGTTGGTTGGCTGGCTGGCTGGCTGGCTGGCTGGCTGGCTGGCTATGGTTGGGTTTGTGCAGGAGGAGGATGAAGCTGGGAAGATGGATGATATCAACGCTCTATATATAACCATCCGGGCCGGAGCAGCGTCACTTGCGGCGTGGAACAAAGAAAGATCACCAACACCAGCTCAGAGCCCATGCCTTGGCGCTGGAGTTACCCTGCATATAGTTAGTTAGCATTTTATATTTCCAACGGGCCAGCAAGCTCCCCCTGGCCCCCTGGCTTCTTCGTGGTCAGTGGAAGCAAGGGGTGATACTATCTGGCTACAACTTTTGCCGGCAAAGACCCCTTGATCTCCATCATAATAGCAAGAATATACTTAGTTGTACAGTGTTTTGGCTTAACTAGAAATGCAATCTTGATCAATAACTAGCTGCCCGGCCTGCTCAATTTTGATGCCCCCTCCATTCAAATGCCCTGAAATTTAGTCCATGTCCTTAATGTGGCGGTGTATCTGGTCCGGCTTGACTCTGGGATATATGGATTGCTTTGGAGATGGCATTTTTCATCGGGATAGAGGAAGAGGAGGACGAGTAAATCCTGGTGAAGGGTCCTGTCTTGCCTCCAAGGCCATCTACGGAGTCACCTGGCCAGCTGTCATGGCCGTTTCTCAGCTTTGACGGCAACTCAAACCTCTCTTCATCCGCAAACTGGTTGTCTGGGTTGGACTTTGTCTTGCTTATAAGCAGCCTTGATCGAAGGGTGGAATATACTGTGCTGGGCTGTACAATATTCAGCCAGAATGAATATATAGCCGGTGCACAGCTCACGATAACTGTTCCAAATAACTCTGCGAACCTAGTACTCAGTCAGCATCTAGACTTTAACCACATAGTTATAGAAAGGGTAAACCGGGGGTTCTCTTAAGCTAACTCACGTTGTAAGTGAAATACAGAGTCCATTCCATACTGGATCTTCACCAAGAAACAATTGAATCCGGAAACCAAGGGAAGTTATACTCATGATAACGGTTCTATAGACAACCAAGTTAGTGAATAATCTTGAGGAATGTCGCAGACTATAACATACGTAAAGCCAACCAAAAACACAATCGCCAGCCCAACTTTTTTCGCTTGGGCCATCTGTAGCTTGCGGATGATAGGAAAAGGCAGGAGAAAGATTATAAAGTCCGCGAGAACCGTAAAAGATCCGATAAATATAGCAAGAGTAACCGGTTCTGCACACCTCGCAAAGGCAGTGGCATCCCAAGGAGCCCCGTTTCTAGGGAGACAGTATACTGTAGCCAGAATGATATTGATACCATAAACGAGGAACGTGAGGACAATCAGTCCATAGGAGACCCGGGATATCCATCGTACGGAGCTGAAGATACGGATGTAAAGAACTAGAACCGCGGATTTTGTGGCCCACAAGGCGGGAGCAACTATCATTTGTTGTGCAAATTGTCTCTAATTTACACAGTTAGCTGAGGTTGCTTCTACACTTGAAAGTTATAGGAGCTCACCTTGATAAACGATTTGGTTACTACAGAGGCAGGGACATCCCATGAATGCCTTGCAACACCATCTAGAGTAACTAGCTATCTGTCAGCTTATTATATTCTGCATGATGAAGAGGATATAGCAAAGGTTACCAGATTCAATTATTGCCCAGTATCCAATGGCGGCTGCTTCACCAAAAACGCACAGATCTTAGAAATCACAGCAGCGGTTAGTTATATGATAGGGACTTATATCAGTGTAGGAGCTCACACACAATCATCCGGGCCTAATCTGCCTGTATGTTTATAGTTGGTTATGAGGCGTATCGTAAGGCATAGCATGCTAATGGAGATGAGAACGACGCCAAGTGAGAGAATGGCCGAGTCAAGTGTGGGAGGGTCCACAAAGTTAGATGGCCCGCCGCTTGGATTGGGCGCAAGAGGTGTCTTTGAAGGATCCATCGCTGGATGTTGGTTGAAGAGGATATCTAGTCAAAGCAAAGCAAGGAGAGAAACCGATTCAAGAGTCTGCGGGAAACAGCCAGCCCGGAAAATTAGGCGGTTACACTCATAACTAAGCCATAAATGTTCTGCCCTGGGAAAATGGGGAGTACCATTTAACTATACAAACGGTGGACAGTCCAGCCTTGCAACAACCCCCAACAGTCAAGGGTGAAATGGTTACCCTGCAGGCGGATAATGCGGCATAGCTTGGCATATCCTGGATTGGAAAAGATGGTCAGCCTTTTGCGGATTGGTGCCAGTCATGCAGGTTATACAAAGGCAAGGATGAGCTGTAGGATTGTGAACATGACTTACCCGAGACAATACACCTCTCAGTAGGCTATCGATATTATTATTGAGCCGCGCCGCAAACTGTGGAATCAGAATACCAACTCGCTGTGATATACGCAGGGAGTACATACCCCTTAATCAATCCCAGAACTACGCAAGGCTGTGGAGCAGCAGCCTATGTTCGTCGTCAGAGGCTTTCGACAGTCATTGGCACCATGTAGGGAGAATTGAGGCTGTACTCTGGGTGGGCTGTACAGCTGTAGAGGGCTAAGCTGCTAGAACATATAACGACGCAAGTCTAGCTGGTAAAGGACTCTGAAATCCAAACCAGCAGAGTCTATTATATATAGAAAGAGCAATAGCTTTTTGAGCCTCACTATAACCGTATCAACACAATGGTTTTACTCCATAGCATGGATGCCTTGGTGGCTATTCCACTGGGGAGCATCATCTTAGCCCTATCTGCCTTCTTGCTGGCTCGAGAGGAGCTCAAGTCTTGTCTCCTATCATCGATTTCCTTTCCAATTTCAATCGCATCAAAGCGTGTCAAAGCCTGGAGATTTCTTCTGGATGGTCCTAACATCATTCAGGCCGGATATGACAAAGTAAGTGTTCACCAAGTAAAGTGCGACAACATATGGATTAAGCTGATATGTGGCCTAGGCCAAAGGATCTCCATATGAGGTCCTTGCTCCCGACGCTCGATATGTGTTTGTATCTTCAGCTGAGCACATCAAGGAGATTGATGCTGCCTCGGACAACGTTCTGTCCCTTCAGGCAGCGGCAAAGCAGATGCTCCAGCCAAAATACACAATGAACAACTTCAACTGGTTTGATAAAAGAGGCGTTGACGGTACACCGCTGGTCCGGACTCTCCGTTCCCTCCTAACAAACAATGTGCCGAACCTGATTCCGGATATTCGAGCGGCCGTCTCCAAGATGTTTGACACCTTTCATGATTCGCTCCCGGCCACAAACGGTAAGGGAAACGAGGGATGACATAGCCCTTGGTATAAATAAAAGCAGTTGCTGACAATTTCAACAGGGGCCAAAGCTGCACCACTGTATCCGATGGTTAAGGAAGCTGTTGCTTACTCCAATGCTTTGGCATTTTTTGGAGCAGAGCTTGGTAATTTTTATGTCCCCTAAGCCACTGTTTAAACCTACTTTGACTGACAAAGGGTATTAGCCCAGGACAAGCAGTTCATGAAGGCTGCAATTGACTTCATCGAGAACACCCTTCTGATTGCTGAAATTCTGCGTCTTCTGCCAAGCTCTCTTGTTCCGTGAGTTCGAACCCATGACAGGAAACTAAGATCTCTCTAACCTGTGGCCATTTTAGTATAGTTGGAAAGCTCCTGGCAAGGCACTTCCGGTCCCACGATGTCCTTCACAGTACCTTAATACCGGTTACTGAGGAGAGGCTTCGAGAAAGGGCCCTGAAACGGCTAGGGCATAAGACTCCTTCCCATGTGAGTGAAAAGTTTCTCTCTAGTAGATGCTCGCCATTGCTGATGGCAGATCAGAAAGACTGCATTCAATGGGTGATGGAATGTTCGCCAACGCAAAAACCATGGTCTGCTGAGAGAATAGTGCATGAACTGATGGCCCTTTGGTTCGGATCAGTTCATGTCCTCACAACAGTAAGTTGGCAGTTTCTTGCTCATACATGATAAGTCTTGCTGACTAGCACTCTATAGACCATTTGCTACGCAGTGCATGATATCTGTCTCCATCCGGAATATGTTGAACCGCTTCGAAAGGAACTCCAAGGCCCGGAATGGGAGACTTTTGAAAAAACAGGAAAAGGTCTACCACTCCTTGATAGTTTTATCAGGGAGTCTGCCCGTCTAACCCCAGTTGAGTCAAGTAAGCACCCTGATGTTTCCTTTGTATCTTATGAGATATGCCTTTGGCCCAAAACTTCACTTGGATGGTATTAACCTGTTGTCCACCGCCTAATAGTGAGCACGCGTCGACAGGCATTGCAGCCATTCCAGTTATCAGACGGGACCAGAATTGAGATCGGAGAATGCTTCTGTACTCCGCAGCGAGCGATGGCGAGGGATCCCGCCAATTTCGAAAAGCCACTCGACTTCCACGGTTTCCGATTCGTCGACCCAAGGGTACTCTCAGACCTCAAACAGCCAGGGTTTAATATACCCAAGACTGCGAAACCCTCGCAGCTTACAGATACTAGCAACTCGCAGCTCTGGGGCACTGGACGCATGGCATGGTAAGTGTTCCCGTTCAGCTTCAAAACCTAGGTATCACCATGACGAATGGAACTAATGGTTTGTAATCATTTGTAGCCCCGGGAGATTCTACGCCGCAGCAGTCATGAAAATAATCCTTGGGCTATATCTCACCAAGTATGACATGGAGTTGGCAGACAAGAAGGCTCCGCGTTGGTTTACGTGGAGGTCGTTTATCTACCCAAGTGCCAGCACAATAGTGAATCTTCGGCCCACTGGGGCGACTGAGTAAATCACACTCTATACATGCGATTAGATTGTCATGTAGTTATCTGGAGGGCCTACACTGGATGTGCTTATCCGTGTTGTTGTGTCAGGAGAGAGGTATTAGATTTCGGTAGGGAGCTTGGGTAAATTTAGATAGTTTTCGTTAGTCAAGAGTTTATAACAGACCAAACCATTCCTTTTTTCAACATCAATCATGATCTCGATATATGAAACGTAGTTCCGTGCGCAGCAGGGCAGGGTATCAAATTCTCGGGAGCCTTGAGAGTCTTGAGAGGCTTGAGAGGAGGTCGAGAGCCTCCTTTTTTTTTTTTAAGGTTGGCGTTAAACAGAGTTTACACTAGTAGCAACCTAACCTAAACTAGTTAGAGTCAGTTAGTCAGCAACAACAGTGGCGAACGTCATGGTTGCCGCCACATCGACCATGACACGGCATCATAAGCGTATATATAAATTATATTTACATTATAGCTATTGACTTAGAGTAATATTACTCTACCAATGTACAGGTATTATATAAATTGTATTGCCTCTGACTGGAAAACCCTAAAAATCTCAGGTACAGAGTATAGTCCAGGTCGATGATGTTATGCTCACGTGACTAGCAGCCAATGAGAATTTGTAGAATTTGTTTACATAAGCCCTGACGTCTTAGACTTTTCACGCTCGACTTTTTTTTCCACGTCAAACTCGTCATCTTCATCCTCCCTCAGCAGCAACAGCAAGTCATCGCATCGCAGGCGACTTGTTCTTCAGCTTTATATTGTGGGATAGAATAGGGCCGTCTGGATACCCAGGACCGCCCCTGCCAGCCCAGCTTTTTCTCCTATTTCTTTATTTTTCAATAGACTGCTGTTCATCCCACTCTTAGGGCTTCCTATCGATAAGGCGTCAAAAACCCCCCACTATCGGTTTGTTCTTCTCCTTCTGCTATAATATTGATTTTTATTCCTCACTCTTGATGATCTGGCTACAGATCAGGCATATGAGACTGCATTTACCAGGCATATCTAGCATATCACTGACCTTTGATATTCACGATATAGACCTAATATCAATATCCAGCTAATCTAAATAAGAGGAAATATTACCTAGCAAAGATGGTCTCTGCATCCAAAGCCGCCCGCCAGGCCAAACGTGCCGCTGAAGGGGATAAGAAAAAGACAGCCACCTCCAAGCTGTCATCGAAGGCCAACTCCAAAAATGTCTCCACCGCTTCTTCTGTTAATGGTGATGATGCGGAGGAGGGCGGCACCAGCGCCGCCAAGATGTCCGATGTCAAGAAATTAACAGAGCAGACGGACAAGTTCGGACTGTCAGATCGTGTCACTACCGGTGTTTTGGCATCTGTCCCATCCAGCAGAGATGTTAAAATGTCGTCCATCTCACTTGTGTTCCACGGACGAGTCCTTATCACCGACTCTACTCTTGAACTCACTTACGGCAAACGATACGGCCTTCTCGGAGAGAACGGATGCGGTAAATCCACTCTTCTAAAGGCCATTTCCAAGAGAGAGTTCCCCATCCCAGAGCACATTGATATCTATCTACTCAATGAGGGTGCTCCCCCAAGTGATCTCGGAGCTTTGGACTGGGTGGTTACAGAGGCACAGAACGAGCTGGACCGACTGGAGAAACTCGCCGAAGAGGTTTTGGAAAACGAGGGACCAGATTCACCTGTCCTTGAGGATATCTACGAGGTAAGTAGGTTACATTATTTAAAGAGAGAATATACGCTGATTAGTGTCGCAGCGAATGGACGGCATGGACCCATCTACTTTCCACACCCGAGCATCTCTCATCCTTACTGGTCTCGGCTTCAACAAGGTCACCATCAAGAAGATGACCAAGGATATGTCTGGTGGTTGGAGAATGCGTGTTGCTTTGGCCAAAGCTTTGTTCGTCAAGCCATCTTTGCTTCTCCTCGACGACCCCACTGCCCATCTTGACCTTGAGGCTTGCGTGTGGTTGGAAGAATACCTAAAGAAATGGGATCGAACCCTCATCCTCGTCTCCCACAGTATGGATTTCCTGAACGGTGTCTGCACAACCATGATTGATATGCGAATGAAGCAGCTTATGTACTATGGTGGAAACTACGATTCCTATCAAAAGACTCGAGCTGAGCAGGAAACCAACCAGATGAAGGCCTACCACAAGCAGCAAGAAGAAATCGCTCACATCAAGAAATTCATTGCATCCGCCGGTACATACGCCAACTTGGTGCGACAAGCTAAATCCCGACAAAAGATTCTCGACAAGATGGAAGCCGATGGTTTCATCCAGCCTGTTATCCCTGACAAGGTCTTCACCTTCAGATTTGCAGATGTTGAGAAGCTACCTCCACCAGTCCTTTCCTTCGACGACGTCACATTCTCCTACTCAGGTGATGCGAAGGACAACCTGTATGAGAACCTCGACTTTGGTGTAGACATGGACTCTCGAACCGCCCTTGTCGGCCCTAATGGTGTTGGAAAGTCTACTCTTCTTCGTATCATGACTGGCAAGCTTGCTCCCACATCGGGTATTGTCACCCGTCATACCCACTTGAAGCTCGGCATGTACAGTCAGCACTCCGCTGAGCAGCTCGACCTGACCAAGAGTGCTCTCGACTTCGTTCGTGACAAGTATTCCGAGAAGAGTCAAGATTATCAGTACTGGCGTCAACAGCTAGGCCGATATGGCCTTTCTGGTGAATCTCAGACTGCCCTTATGGGAACTCTTTCTGAGGGTCAGAAGAGCAGAATCGTCTTTGCTATCTTGGCCATTGAGAGTCCCAACATGCTGTTGCTCGACGAACCTACTAACGGATTGGATATCCCCACCATTGACAGTTTGGCTGATGCTATCAATGCTTTCAGTGGCGGTGTCGTTGTCGTTTCTCACGACTTCAGGTAAGATTCCATCCCTACCAATTGATTTCATTTGTTAATATCAAGATACTAACGTTATCATCTAGACTCCTCGACAAGATTGCCAAAGACATCATGGTGTGCGAGAACAAGACTGTCCGCCGATGGGATGGTACTATCGGCGAGTACAAGAACCACCTCCGAAAGAAGATGATCAACGCCGGCCAAGTCTAAATGCCGATAACCGGAGGCTTGTTCGTTTCCTGCTTGATTCCCCATTTATTTACTGTTTTTCTTGACTACCCAAAACGCAACCATCCACAACTAACGGCCTTGCTTAAAAATCTTTTGCCATGTTCCTCTTATCGTCACGGTCTCGGTGGTACGAATGGTTTTATTCTCCCTTGACCTGTTATTGTTATGTAAATGGGCCTTTCCCCTGGTTAGCGCATCGAAATCGACTTGCGCACATGGGAACTGGGATTGTTTAGACTTTAAAACTGATGTTTTCTATCCCTTCGTTTGACTTATTTTTTGCATCTGCTCCGAGGGAGGAGGCTTCTATATTTATTTGCCTTCATGAAATGGCAAGGTAATAGAAAAGGTTGATTGATAAAATGAAAGGTTACTTACTACTTTCTTTATACCATCGTCCTGCTCTCAAGTTGGTAAACTTTCGTAGAACCATGGTAGTGATTTAAGCTTACACAACGATACTGTGAGCTCGTGGGTAGAACGCGAGTCCTCGAAGGCCCTGGTCATCCAAAACACCAATGCATCGTTTTATTCTGGCGGTTACTACCATTATCCATATAGTATATAAATATATATATATATGAATCATCCCTTCTTCAGCTCCCCTCCGAACGGAGAGTCCATTCCCCCGAGCCTTTCACCCTCCAATTTGCGCTTTTTAGCGGCGCGATCTATATCATTTTCCACGTCTTGCTCCTCACTCATAGCAGCTACGTTAACTGAAGCCGGAGCAGCAACTGGTTCTGAAGGGGTATTAGCTCCGGTGGGGACAGCCGAACCACCCGCTTTCTGCAACCTGTTCAATGCAACGAGATCTTCTCTTTCCGGGTTCTGGCAGTGAAATAGCTTTTTCCCTATCAGCTTGAGCCTCTTCATCCGCGCTGAGCCGGGAACGGTGCTTGATGTTCCATTATTTTGTATGTAAGAGGTAAGTAAGTCGCTGCAGGACTGTAGGACGGGAATAAGTTTGGCGTGTATATTGGAGAGCATGTCTGAAGGCGAAGTTGAGGAAGTAGGGGATGTGTTGGCCGGGCCCAGCTTTGTTTCAAGGTAGAACTCAGCTAGTGGTCTATCGGCAATGAGTAATGCAGATATCCATATCTGTGAAGGGGTATAAAGGAAATATGCGTCTGTCATTTGTGCAGAGTGCTTAAGGATCTCCCTGGTATTGTGGTGTACTTTTGCTAAACGGGTAGCTAGAGGCGAAGCAGGTACTGGCCCAGCTATCGAAGTAGGCGGAGGTGGAAGTGACTGGATGGATTTCTGAAGTCCAGCTGGAGTAAGTCCTAGAAGATGGGGTCCTGGTGTAGCTTCTCCTTTTGCAATCGCATTCAACTCCATCATCCCGCCCTCTAATCCACGGAATGGGTGGCGTACGTCAAACGTAAACCGTAGGCCCTGTGTGAGTAGGAACTCGGGAGCAATTATACTTTCCATCGTCGAATTGGGTATGTGTTCTGTAAATGACCGGAGGGACATGTAGAAGTTATCCGTCTTTGTAGCTAGGAAGAGCGCACACGGCATGATAGATTTCGGGTGGTAGGTCATTGGGGAATTCGTAAGGTAGAATCGTCGAAGGTATTGAATCGCAGTCGCCTTTTTTTATATCATCTGTTAGCCTTGGTATAACTTTGGGATGCGTGGAGGCTATACATACCCTTACTGTTGTAGGCAGAGGCGGTTTATATTCGTCTCCCAACTCCATGGTCTTCTCGCAAAAGTACTGTACCAGCTCAAACTCCTCATCTGGCGTAAGGCATTCTATCTCCTGTTCGCTTCCTGCTCCTGTTCGAGCTGGCGTAACGGCTCTATCAGCATCACTTGGGTTCGGATTTGGTGTGCCTTGGTCTGGTGTTGGAGCTGTGGAGGCTTGTTGTCGAGCTTCTCTGGCCCGGCGGACGGCAGCACGAACTCGCTCGCTTGCAACGGCATTAGTATTAGCTCGGATTGATCGGAGGGAGTCTTCTGTGAAGGACCAGAGGCGAAATTGCGTAGAGGTTCGGTATATGTCGTCTTCTAGCATGGTTGGAAGTTGAGCTTTGAGAGCTATATACAGATGACCCGCGGTGTGAACAACGTAGCGATCAAACGTGGAAAAGAAGACGAAGGCACAGGTATATGGAAGTATCCCAGTAAGTTGCGCCTTGAGTCAAGCTGAAAGCCGTGGTGACGATGTATTTGAGTATGCAAGCCTGGAGCTTTTTGCTTTGGAGGCGGAAGTAAAATAAATAATTACACTTTTGCGCGGAAGCTAAATAGTGACGACTATCGACTCCAGACATCCAACATCCTAGCACCATATAACTCTACCTAGCTATATAGAAAAACAATGAATATAGAGTATGATGAGGGTAGTTGAATGTGATTTGGGATTGAAGCACCTATTTAGTTTCCACACAAAAGCCTTTGCTCCGCGCTATAACGCCAGTCTTGTTGATCCATCGCCAGACACCACCTTATGCTCTCTCTCTCTCTC